ACTTTGAGAACAGAACCTGACAAAAACATTCCCAGAAGAAACGTGGAGGGTTGCTTGGTTCACCAGAGACGCAAAACTCCTAAACAGCGTATGAGCTAACCAAGGATGACAGCAAACAAAACAAAAAATAGAAAAAGAAAAAAAGGAAAAAGAATATGAGCAAACCGAACTCAGAGACAGTGAAAAAAGAGAATTCATCACCACCAGTGTGGGTTTGTCCCAGGATTGCGAGATTGGTTGACTGTCAGAAAATAATGTCATGCAATTCGTCACTAGAAAGAAGCATCCTAGACCATCTCATAGCTGCAGAAAAGCATTTGATAAAATGTGCTGACATTCACTCACAATAAAAACTCTAAGCAACTAGGAATGGGAGGAAACTTCCTCAATCTGACAAATTGCGGCTACAAAAGCCCGCAGGAACTGTCATACTTAATGGTAAAACATAAGAAGCCAGGTGTGGGGGATGGGCAATACGCGTAACCGTAACATTTGTACCCCCATAATATGCTGATAAAAAAAATAAAAAATAAAAAAAGACCATAAAAAGCCTTCCTTTTGAAATGAAGACCAAACTAAGAATCACTTTTGTAAGGCTGGTGGTGGCCCCCTCCCTTCCCTAGATCAAAAAAGAAAAGGTTCACGAGACCAGACCCAACAAGGACAAAACTGCCAGGCCCCGCTGAGAGGAACCACACCCAGAAGTCCACCTGGATAAGAACGTTTCCTCTCCTGGATTCCACAAATAAATACCTGCAGCCTCTATTTCTCAACCACCACCCAAGGCCACAATAGAGAATTCCCAGCTCTTCCTGCCACAAGTCCCTAGCCCCGCCCAAAGGGTCTAAAAGGCCTCAGCCCCTTCAAAGATGGCAACTTCTGGGGCCCCCTCTCTTGGGGCCCCAGAACCTCATCTAGGAGTGTATAATAAAGCCTCGTGGTTTGGCCCCCACTCTCTCTCTCTCTCTGTTTCTTTTCTTCGCCACCACTGAAAAACCTTACAACCTTCATCACTTCCTTTCAAGTAAAATCAGGGGAAGTCCTAGCCAGTACAATAAGGTGGGAAAAACAAATAAAAGCTCTAAGGATTGCGATGGAGAACTGGAAGCTGTCATTATTTGTAGATACTCTACAGATGAACTGTTAGAAATAGGTGAATTTTGCAAGGTCCCTGGGATCAAGGAAAATATGCAAAAATCAATATTTCTACATATTAGCCACAAACAGAAAACACCTTTTTGAAGTAAAATCGCTTAAAACAGCATTTAAAAAAGTCAAATACCTAAAAGTAAAACTAACAAAGAGTCCAGGCCTGGTGGCTCATGCTTATAATCTTAGTACTTTGGGAGGTCAAGGCAGGAGGCCAGGAGTTTGAGACCAGCCTGAGCAAGAGTGAGACCCTGTTTCTACAAAAAATGGAAAAATTAGCCAGGCATGGTGGCGCATGCCTCTAGTCCCAGCTACTAGGGAGGCCGAGGCAGGAGGATCGCTTGAGCCCAGGAGTTGGAGGTTGCAGTGAGCTAGGCTGACGCCAGGGCACTCACTCTAGCCTGGGCAACAGAGCCAGACCATCTGAAAAAGAAAGCAAACCAAAACCAAACGAAACAAAAAATTAATAAAGCTAGGCAAGAGCCCTACACCGACCACTAGAAAACATAATTGAGAGAAATTAAAGAAGACCTAAGTATATGTGTTTATGGACTAGAAAGTTTAATATTGTGAGAAGTCAATTTCCCCCTCATTTATCTCTAGATTCAATGCAATCCAATCAAAATCCTAACAGTGTTTTAATTATTATTATTGGAAAGCTGATTTAAAAATTCATATGAAAATGTCAAGGACCAAGAGTAGCCCAGGCAGTCTTGAGGAGAAGAACATAATAGTAGACTGGCAGTACCAGATATAAAGAACAAGCTATGGTAGTCAAGACGATTTGGTGTTGGTATAAAGACAGACAAACTGGCCCGTGGAACAGGACAGAGGGTCAGCTGACCTCTGGCAGAGGGAACACAACAGAGCAGTGGGGAAGAGATGCTGTTTCAATAAATGGTCCTGGGTCATTTGGATATCCACATGAAAAAAGTGCACCTTGACCCCTACTTCACACCAAAATCTATTCTATTTGGTTTGCAGATCTAATTATAAAATACTAAGCAATAAAACATTTACAGGAAAACAAAAAACATCTTTGTAACTTTAGAGTAGGCAAATTATTATTATTTTTTTTAAGAGACAGGGTCCCACTCTGTCACCCAGGCTGGAGTGTAGTGGCATGATAATAACTCACTGTGGCCCTGCACTCCTGGGCTCAAGCAATCCTCCCGCCTCAGCCTTACAGTAGTAGGCAAATGATTCTTAAACAGGACACAAAATGCACTAACTACAAAAGAAAAAAATTGATAAATTGGATTATGTTAAGAACATCTATTCAACAAAAGACACCACTAATACAGTGGAGAGGCAAGTCAGAGAATGGGTGAATGTTTGCAGTGCTAGAGCTGATGGCAAACTCTTACCCAGAATCTAGAGAAAGAACTCCTACAAATCAGTTAGAGAAATCCAGACAAGAGAAAAGACTTGAACAGACACTTGACAAAAGAGGAGCTCCAAATGGCCAATCAACATACGAAAGGGTGCACAAGCTCCACTGGTTGTCAGAAAAACAAATTAAGTCCATAATATTCTACCATTACACACCTGTCAGAATGAGCTAAAATGGAAGACTGATAATACCAAGTGTTAGCAAGGATATGGCACATAAGAACCCTGGCACTGCCAGTGGGAATGCCAAATGACAAAGCCACTTTGCACAACTGGCCTTATCTACTAAAGCTACCATACATGTACTCATTCCTAGGAAGACTGCTTCTAGAAACTCACCCAACATCAATGCATACATTTATGGTGGGCCAGTGGCTCACGCCTGTAATCCTAGCACTCTGGGAGGCCAAGGCAGGAAGATCGCTCAATGTCAGGAGTTTGAAACCAACCTGAGCAAGAGCGAGACCTGGTCTCTACTAAAAATAGAAAGAAATTAATTGGCCAACTAAAAATATATTTAAAAAATTAGCCGGGCATTGTGGCACGTGCCTGTAGTCCCAGCTACTCGGGAGGCTGAGGCAGGAGGATTGCTTGAGCCCAGGAGTTTGAGGTTGCTGTGAACTAGGCTGACGCCACGGCACTCTAGCCTGGGCAACAGAGTGAGACTCTGTCTCGAAAAAAAAAAAAAATGCATACGTTTATGCATCAAAGGACACATAGGAGAATGTTCACAGTAGCACTAGCCGTTATAGTCCCAAACTGGGAACCGCCCCAATCAGCTTCAACAGGAAGACGGATAAACACACTGTGGCGTATCCACTAGATGGAACAACACTCAGCAAACACCAGTTACAGCTTCACACCGCAACGGGGACGAGTGTCACAGGCAAAGGGAGCTGGACACAGACAGTGTCTGCTCCCCGCTTCCACCTTTGTGAAGTGCAAAACCAGGCAGACCGATGCCTGGCGTGAGGAAGCAAGGCAGCCTTTGCCCTGGGGAGGAAGGGAGGGGAGGGCTGACACAGAAAAACGTGCAGGGTGGCGTGGGGTTGCCGACAACACCACTGCCCGTCTCCTGACAGGGTGGAGGTCGCTTGGGCGTGTTCGCGTTGGGTTAATCCCGAGTGCACTCTTATCGGCGCACACACTCCTGTGTGCAGTTCATATCTAGGGAACGTTGATGATACCCCATTTATGCCAGGCAGGTTCTACCACAGAAGCAGGACCCACGCGGAGCTGGCCCTGTAGTCTTTGCAAGTGTGTGGTCTTGGTCTTGATCTTGATGCTGGGGCTTGAGAGACACATGGCTGGAAGTCAGAAAGGGGAGGTGGCCGTAAGGTAGGTGGGGGAGCAGAGCTGGCCATTACCCAAGCATAGGCTAGAGCCCGCAAGGCTGGATTGGAACCCTGGTTCTTGTCGCCGTGGGTGACAAGGGCTTCCTGCAGAAGTTGGGACCCTTCAGATTGGGCATAGTGGCTCACAACTGTAATCTCAATATTTTGGGGACGTTGAGGTGGGAGGATCGCTTCAGGCCAGCCTGGGCAACACAGCAAGACTCCGTATGAAAAATTTTAAAAATTAGCCGGGTGTGGTGGTGCACACCTGTAGTCCTGGCTCCTCTGGAGGCTGAGGCAGAAGGATCACTTGAGCCCAGGAGTTCGAGGCTGCAGTGAGCTATAATCACACCACTGCACTCCAGCCTGGCTGACAGAGCAAGGCCCCATCTCTGAAATAATAATAATAATAATAATAATAATAATTTAAAAAAAAGAAGCTGGGACCCTTCCTCCTACACCTGGCCCAGGCGTCAGCACAGCTGAAGGTGGCTCCAGGGACAGGCAGACAGCTGCAGACCTGGGCCCCGTCTGTGCCGAGGACCTGAGCCTGCAGACAAGCACCAGGGGAGTGAGCTTGTCCCGCCTGCTGCTTCTCGTCCTCTCGTCAAAGCTCGCAGGGGAGTCTCTGTGCGGCTCATCCCACCCAGAAACATGCAGAGGAGAGAACTGGGGCAGATGCCACGCGGCCTGGTCACGTTGGTGCAAGCCCAACAACATTTTCCACCTATCTGGCAAAGAGCAAAAAATGTGCAGGCTCCGTGTGTCAGCAAGCGTGTGGGGGCCAGGGCTTCCTTGTGGGGCGGTGGCGGTGTCAGTTGGTACAACCCCAGGAGGGAAATGCATGTGCCGTGCAGCCGCCAATCTACCCGTATGAATTTCTTCCCCGGGTAAACCTGAACTTGCCCACAAAATACAACCGTGTTTAAAGAAGCAGAAGACTGAGCACAGCTTCAATGTCTACCCACTGGGGACCAGTTACCTAAGTTGTCATTGAGGGTTTTTTCACCCTTTGCACGATTTATTCTCAACACTGATGAACCGTGTAGAAGGCTGTCCTTTCACACTTCCGCCTCGGGTGTCATTAGAGGGGCTGTTGCCCTAAAGAAAGAAACTGAAGCAAAATTCCTATGGAGAGTTTATTTGGGCCAAGGCTAAGTCCAGCAGCCGGACACACTTCTGGGTTGCCCTGGCTGGAGAAGAGAAAGGTAAGTGTCCCTCCGCCCCGGGGTGGTGCTGGGACCCTGTGGGTGTCCCACCAGTTTCTATTTGACCCCCCTGCCCCCAGCTCTGTCGCCAGCATGTTTTCAAGTCCTTGGGTTACTGTTTCCTCCACCTCGACTGGCACCACCACGCCGACACCACGACTTCCATATTTCTGTCATTCCAACCCCTTGGGGTTGGGCCACGAGCTCCCGCAGCTGCCCGTCCTCCACGCCCTGGAGCTGCTGAACTGAGACGGCCGCACCGGCTTCGGGTCCCCACCTTGCACACGCCCAGCCTGTGTCCTGCTCCCCTGGAAAAGCCCCTGCCAGGTGGCGGGGCTTCCCGGCCCGGGCTACCCCTGGCACTGGGTAGCCGGGGCCGGGGCCACAGACAGGGCACCCTTCCTCCTGCAGGGGAGGGGAGCCCAGGCTGGAGGGAGGCTGGTGGGGGCGGAGGGAACCCGAGGCAGATCGTACTTTTTAAATATATATTATTTTCTTTTTAGCTTAAATTTGCCGCACAAAAAGCAGGCCATGCCTTGTTCTTAGGGTGAGGTCTGAACGCCTTGGCCTGGTAGGGGAGGTCTTGGTTGGCCCCGGCCCCACCCGCTGTTCCTAAGACACACCTGCCCAGGTCTTCCTCGGAGCCTTTGCCAAGGCTGGTCCTCTGCCTGGAACGTCCTCTCCAACCAGTCAGAGCCCTGAGAATCCACCTGTCTATTCACCTGTCTCGGGGCTGTCCTTGTCTGGGGCACCGTCTGGTGGACCTGCTGAGCTTCGAGGCCGCCCCTGCCCCCCTGGGCCCCCAGCAAACCTCTGCCTGCTCCCACACGCCAGGCCCAGACCAGGCACCTCGCCTCTCACCCGAGCCCTGGCCTGGGGTGAGCAAAGCCCGCCTTACCTCATCTGCAGGGAGGAAAGTACCTGCCCAGCGGCCAAGCGGCAGGCCGCAGCCCACCCTGCTGCAGCTGTGAGCCTGGAGCAGGGGACCTGGCTAGGCAGGAAGCACCCACCCATCCCCCTCTAGCGTCCTGGGTGCCCCCGAACCCTCACTCTTAGCTATTCCCACGCACTTGCCCCCACTGTGCACATTCACCTCCTCCAGGAAGCCCTCTGGACCACACCTGCCCCTGCCACCCAGTTTTCCCGATTCTGGCCCGGACCCTTCACCACGGGCAAGACTGAGCGGCCTGATGACCTGGGGTGACCTGTGCAACCTCTCCTACACTCCTGAGGCTGGGGGATGACCGGGCGGCCCTCCCAGGTGAGGGGAAGCGGAGGAGTGGGCCATGCGAAGACCTTGGCGGGCAGAGGGTGGGACCCTGCCCCGGCCCAGCTGCGGGCAGGCCTTCTGCCTGCGCCTCCTCTGTGCTCCTGCCCTCTGCTGCCACCGCGTGGCCACTCCCAGTGCTGCAGGCCATGCGAGCCCCCCCCACCTGGTCCCAACAGTCCTGCCCTGCCCCCAATCACCACCCTCTCCACGGAGGAGGCCTTGGGGCCTGTGCATCTGTGTAGTCCCCTCCCCGCCACACCTAACGCCACAGGAGGGCAGGTGCTGAGCCAGCTGCTGTGGCACGAGGTCTGGGCTCTGCACCCAGCCCTGGGCGAAGGCAAGGACTCAGATGTGGCCCTGCTAGTGACTGCCCCCAGCCAAGGTGCCAGCTCACCGGGCAGAGCCAGGCAGGGCTGGGGACCAGGCCAGCTTGCCAAGGCGCAGGCAGCCCTTCCAAGGAAGGCCAGGGCTGGGGGAAGAGGCTGGCGCCTGCACAGGGGAGGGGCTGGGAGGTGGCCGGGACCATGGCTAGCACACCCCCAGGCCTGGCCCACCCCGGGTCACTGTTCTCATCCACTTGACACAGAGGGAGGCTGGGGAGGGGCAGCGCATCCCAGTGACCTGGGTGGGGATGAACAGGAGGACTCAGACCCAGGTCACCCTGGGTGCTGTTGGTGGGTGGCCCCATGGGGTGATTGTGGAACTCTCTGGAACCAAGGCGCAGCATGGACACCAGGGAAGGAACACAAGGGGCTTGTTTTCTCCTTGTACAGGCAGGGAGGGGTGTTCCTGAGTGACCTTCCAGGAAAGTTAGAGTTAACAAGCCTGGCGGGCAGAGGGCGGTCCCTCCCCCGGGATTCGTGCTCTGCTCTGGCGTCCTGAGGCCTCTCCTCGCCCAGGGCTGGGCCTCCCTGGGGTCTCGGGCTGAGCCTGGGCGTCCAGGACCCAGGCAGCTCTGCTCTGGCCCCACGGTGGGGCACAGGTCTCGGCCTCTCAGGGACCAGACGCGGGCTACGGGCAGCGAGGTGGCAGGGGCGGCGGTGCTGGGCTCAGGACTCCAGGGCCTGGAGGCTCAGGTCTGGGGCCTCAAAGCCAAAAGTATCTGAGGACAGAGAACGGAGCGCTGACAGCACAGGCGTTGGGGCACCGGGCCTCCAGCCTCGGGTCCGAGATGACAGAGAAGGGTTCTAAAGGCCCGGGTGCCAGGTGTCGGGGTCCAGGCTGCGCAGCCCTGGGGCGGCAGGAGCCGCAGGACTGGGTGCGCGAGGCCGCGGCTCTCCCGGAGGCGGGTCAGGGCTGTGAGCCCCAGCTGTGCCTGCAACAGAGACGCGGTTTGGAGGGGCACAGCCCTCTTCCCCCCCTCGCCGCCCCAGGGTCCTGGGAGGGCGGAGGAGGGTGGCGGGCGGGCGGGGTCTCACATGCTGCCCCTCCAGCGGCGCAGCAGCACGTAGGCCAGCGCGACTGCGGCCACCACCGAGAGGCCTCCGAAGATGATGCCCAGCAGCACCGCGTAGCTCCGTCCTGGAGAGGGGACGAGTGGTGAGGCCGGTCTGGGGCCTCGGGCACAGGGGAACAGGCAGGGGTGCGGTGGCGGGTCGCCCTCACCTGGCTGGCACTCCGGGGTGGGTGTGGACCAGGTGCCGTCGGCCTGGCAGGTGCTGGTGTCTGCCCCGACCAGGCTGTAGCCGCTGTGGCAGTGGAAGTGGAGGGTGGAGCCCACCAGGTACCTGATGCTGTCCTTGTGCCCGTTGAGGGGAGCGGCCAGCCGGCCACAGGACACCACTGGGGCGGGGGCAGGGCACAGACAACAGGCCTGAGCCCAGCCGCCGCCCATAGCCGCCGGCGTGGGGGCCGTCCCAGGGCAGAGAGCCCGCCCTCACCCCCGCGCCCCGAGCCCCCACGGCCTGCGCCCTCACCCGGCTGCAGGCTCTGCACCCCCACGGCCTGCGCCCTCACCCGGCTGCAGGCTCTGCGCGTGGTGCTGGTGCAGCAGGTGGGCGCCCCGAGCCCCCACGGCCCCACCCCCACGGCCTGCGCCCTCGCGCACGTCCCGTCGCCCCATGGCCGCGCCTCACCCGGCTGCAGGCTTGCGTCGCGTGCTGGTGCAGCACTGCTGGGCGGCCCGCGTGCGTTGCCGGTGCTCAGGTTCCCAGTGGCGCCACGTCGAAGTTGCAGTAAAGGATCTCCCACAGGAGTTCGCGCCTCAAGAGCCAGCGGGCTGGAGGGCGCCTCACCTGGGAGAAGGGCTCAAGGTGGTCTGCTGGTTACAGGAAGTTGCGCCTCAAGAACCCAGAGTGTAGGTGGAGCAGCGAGAAGCGTTTGCACGGCCCTGGGGAGGACAGGAGGCCTGGCTGGCGTGGGCCGAGGGCACAACCTTCCGTGCGCCTTTCCGGCCCACCCTCTGTACCAGCACCAGCCACGGGTCCCTTCAGTCGCCCGTACTGGAACAGACCCGGACTGCCTTGAGGCAGGACTGCCCGCTGCGAGGGGTGAGTCGTCGGTGGGTCGACTGTTAGTGTCCCGGAGGAGGCGCGGTGGGTTGAGGAACTTTCGGGCAAGCAGGACGGACACACTCAGGAACGGGCCCTGAATGCCGACCTCCAGGCCAGCCCCGAAGCCAGCAGACTGAGACCTGTCCTGGGAATGCCACTGACAGTAACATGTGGCCGCACGCAGGTGGGATGGGTCAGGGTCACGCCCGCCCTGGCACCGTGGCCCTGCTCCGCACTCAGGTGCGGGTGTGGCACCCATGGGCACCGCAGGAGGGCGTCTCTGGGGCCAGCCCGCTGACTGTGACCTACCCCCCAGCTCCACGCCTGCGGCGTAGCCCATTGCCGCCCAAGGTGCCATGCTGCGCAGCGAGCTGCCGGGGCCGTCCCGTGTTCTGCGGCCGTGTCGCCTTGGCCCTTCCGATTGGTCTCTGTACCCCACGCTGATAGCCCACGGCAGTCCACTGCCAACTGGATCCATGTCCATTCTGCTCAGTTCCCTGGGAAAGGTCCACGTGAGCTGCCGCATTTCCAATGGCATCCTTAACCCGTGCAGCTGGTCCTTGCGTGCTTTGAGCAGCGGGTGCTGTGCAAGCCCAGCGGTGAGAGAGCCAGGCCAGTCCTTCCGCACGGCTCCCGGGTTCCTCTGCCACCGGAGGACATCCACATCCAGCCTGCACCGGCCAGGGTACACTGAACCCATGGGGTGGCAGCCTGATCCACGCCTCTTGGCTTGTGCTCCTGCCACTCTGCCCTGGGACCACATCATGCTAGATAATCCGTGGGGAAGGAGCAACGATCACATGCCCCTGGGCTGTGCAGGCCCCTCTCTGAGCCCCCAGAGGCCCCTGTCCCTTGCCATCTGAGCCCTGGCCGCACCCAGCTCCGGCCAGGGCGGGGAGAGGCGTGAGCCCAGGGCTCCCGCTCCACCCGGCCCCAACGGTGGGAAGGAAGGAGCCCTGCCCAGCTGACCGCTCACGCCTTCAGGTCCATCCACTCTCTCGCAAGCTGAGCACCTCTGTATCAAAAAAAAAGCACACCTCCAGGGCCCGCCCGTGGGCCCAGCCGGACCTCACACGTCCGATGTTCGTCTCGACGGCCACAGCGGTCAGCCCGCGCCGCGGTCTGCTCCTGAGGTGTGGCACAAAGGCCCGCTGCTTCCAGCCCCTCCTGCTGACCTCACCTCCGAGCCAGCGCAGCCTCACGTTGGTAGCAGCCGGCTGGCCGCGCCTGCACTCCGGCGTCAGCGCGCCCTCCAGCACACGTACTCCCCGCGTTGAACGGAACTTAGCCGCGAAGGTGATGAAGTGGGGTCTCCAAAGGCGAGGCGGGGAGAGCAGTCAGGGCCCGCCTTGGCCCGGACTGCCGCTGCCTCCCCAGCGCTGCTGGCACCCACCCATGCCGGTGGGCCGGTAGGTGCGCAGTAGTTCAGGGCCGGCGCCTGCATTGGGCAGCAGGCGCCAAGGCCACAGTATAGAAGCTGAGGACGTCTAGAGCAGGGACATGCCGGGCAACGCCGCGTGCAAAGGGGTGCACCCCAGTCCGGCCTGGCCAATGTGCTGCCCGCTCTGAGTCAGCCGTCAGGAGCTGGTTGCCATGCCGTTATAGCAAGCACTTGCCTGGCCCGCGCCGTACCGGGCGGCCCCGCAGGCGGGTGGCTTGGAGGCCCGGGCCCCACCCCCAGCCCAGCCCCGCCAGAGCTCACCTGCCGCACGACGCCACATCATCAACGGCCCTGGTTAGGTGCAACTGCCCTGCTCTATGCACATCCGTTCAGTCATCAGAGCAGCAGTGACTGTCCCTCCGGCCCGGGTCTGCATCCCTCCATGACGTCAACCAGGGGGGCTCAGACCCCAGCCCCACTTCTTAGGCTCAGTGGGATGCTGCCCTGTCCCCTGCCCTACGAGCTCACTGGAAGCGCCGGAGTGCCCGGCCTGTGCCAGTGCAGGTCAGTCGTCATCTCCTCCAGGAAGTCCCAGCGGTCCCCAGCGCTCCCAGGCCCGCACTTGAGCGAGGGCCCAGCCACGTCTCCCGAAGTCACTGCCCAGGTCAGCGCGCATGTCGTTGGTCCAGAGCTGCCTCGACGTCCTGTGCAGCAATCCACGCAGAGCGGGGGCCTCAAGTGTACCCGCCAGGCTCCTGGGCAAGCAGGACAGTGAACGTCAGGCCCAGCCCTCTCTGTGCCTGGCCTACTTCTGCCTGGGTAGTTCTGCTGTCGGTATCGGAGTGCACCCACTTTCCACTCTGGTGTTTGGGACCAGGTTCCGGTGAAGGTGAAACCAGAGTTGGAGATTTTGAGGCCAGGGTATAGTATGAACCATTCTCTGTCACTCCCGGATACGCTCCCTGAGGGAAGCCCTAGTACCCTGGCCCGCCCGGACCCTGGGCAGGAAGGGTTGGGCACTGGACACTGACAGGTGTTTGGATGTGACCAGAACAGGTGTCCCCATGGAGACCCTTAGGTCCTTAGTCACCTGGCTTAGGGACCACCTCCCTCCACACTCCCTGCCCTGCTCAAGGCGGCCCAGGGCCTACCAGCTGACCAGGGCTCAGAGCATACGAGGTGGCCGGCCTCCTCCAAGGGCCGGCCTGGCACTGCCCCCCGCCCCACCGCCTTTCTGATCCTGACGCCCCAATCCCTGCCCAGAGGCTCTCCTCTACCCCCATGGAACCCCTCACCCATCCCCCACACACCCATGGCCCTTATCACCCATCAAAGCCCCAAGCCCACCGCCCTCCGCTGCCTCACCCATTCTCGACCCCACAGCTCCGAATACGGCCTGTGCTGGCACGCCGAGGTATGTCCCATCATCTCAGTTGCTGTCCTTCCGTGCCGTAGTATAGCCACGTCTCGTTCACCAGGGGCTCTTCTCTGTTCGACACTTGTTGGCGCACTGCAGGGGTGAGGGGCGAGTGAAGGCCTGAGCATGCAGGTGAGGAGCCAGGGGCTCCTGGCGTGGG